CTGAACCGTTGATACAAGGGAGGAAAGAGCCATGCTTTCAAGTTGTTGACATCAAATTCTGACCCTACCATTTGAATATTGCAGCAGAAATCGAGACTGATCAGAGCAGGCAATGTTTTTTCAATCTCTATTGTCCAATTTTAATGAGCCTGTGCGAATTGTAGCCTCAGTTTCCTGTTTTTAGCTGACAGGAGTGGCACCCGGTGTGGTCTTCTGCTGCTGTAGCCCATCCGCCTCAAGGTTGGATGTGTTGTGCATTCAGTGATGCTCTTCTGCTACAACCTTGGTTGTAACGAGTGCTTATTTGAGTTACTGTTGCCTTTCTATAAGCTACAACCAGTCTGGCCATTCTCCTCTGATCTCTGGCATCAACAAGGCATTTGCTCACACAGAACTGCCGCTCACTGGATATTTTCTCTTTTTCTGACCATTCTCTGTAAACCCTAGAGATGGTTGTGCGTGAAAATTTCAGTAAATCAGCAGTTTCTGAAATACTCAAACCAGCCCGTCTGGCACCAACAAACATGCCTCGTTCAAAGTCACTTAAATCCCCCTTTCTTCCCCATTCTGATGCTCTGTTTACACTGCAGCAGATTGTCTTGACCATGTCTACATGCTTAAATGCTGAGTAATAAGTTGCTGCCATGTGATTGGCTGATTAGAAATTTGCGTTAACGAGCAGTTGGACAATAAAGTGAGTGTATATATACTGTACATACAGTAAATATACACAATAAAAATTAATCTATAAACATTAAAACATGTCAGACACTTGTAACAGTTTGCCCTATCATAAATTGGCTTATTTTAAGTTTAAAATGATGCATTTATCATACATTTAAGTATGATTTACAGAAAAAAAACTGAATTGTTTTTCAGTGTGGCGTCAGAAAGATTTTATCATGGATCTTAATCATCGTGTTTTAAAAACCAAAGTACAAAATCTCAGCATTTGTGCATTTTTGTCTCAAAACAAAGCATGCGTATGAATTATTGACTGTTGCGTGCTGTATTATTCAGGAGGGGTGTGTCAGAATGAGCTCATCACTGTGTGTGTTGTATTATAACTCAGCTGGTAAACCATAATGTTCCTCTTAAGCAAAGTGTGCCCATCACTCATTCTGCCACAAGAAACGCCAGCCATTAGACTGATGACTTACTGATGTCAGAATATTTACCAGTGTTTACCACAGATGACGGTGGATTTCGCATGAAGTATTGTATTTGGAAAATACCTGTAATTTTACACCCAAACAGAAGTACTAAGATTCATTAAAACAACATACGTTGAGTTTTTCAAGCATCAATAAAATGTAATACAGCAAATCTTTCAATTAAATTAAATTTTATATATTTGATTCCAGAGCATAAAATAATACATTTTCCCCATGATTTACAGAAGACATGTACTAAAATGTACATTTGTAGAATGCATTTAAACCAAAATAATCTCATATTTTTAAATGTTTTAATTCAATTAATTTAATTCAATTTAATTGATTCCAGAGCAATACATAATACATTTTGCTCATGATTTACAGATGCACTAAAATGTCATTCAGTGTTATACATTCATACCAAAATATTCTCATATTTAGAAATATTTTAATTCAATTTATTTGACTCCAGAGCAAAAAGAAAATATTTTGTCCATCGTTTACAGAAGTCATGTACTAAAAGGTAATTCAGTGTAATGCATTTACACCAAAATAATTTCATATATAGAACAAGAATAATTTGCAATAATTTACTCTATTTAAGGATCAAAGTGCAGCCGTTAATTTGATATCTTTATAAATCACTGAAAAGTAATGATCTATTAGATTTACTCCATTTTTAAGGTAAGTGGTTGCAAACAATTTATATGGGCTTAAACAAATTAAATGTAGTAATATTCAACTTAATTAGTTTGTTTAAATTCAGCCATATAAAGTGTTTGCAACAACTTACCTTAAAAATGTTAGTAAATCCAATTAATATTTTTCAGTTTCATATCATCAGTGTTTGCTGTTGTACATTTGACACATTTGTCAATAAGAATTTTTCTTTCAAAAATATAAATCACCCATATTTTTCATTCATTAATTTTCTTTTCAGCTTAGTCCCTTTATTAATCTGGGTTCGCCACAGCGGAATGAACTGCCAACTTATCCAGCAGCGGTTGCCCTTTCAGCTGCAACCCATCTGAGGTTCGAACCAGCGACCTTCTTGCTGTGAGGCAACAGCACTACCTACTGCGCCACTGCATCGCCCTATAAATATATTAATGTATTTTAATAAGTACAGTCCATATATGTACGCACATATAATAATAAATATGATGTTTAATTTTTACATGTCTGTTACGGCAATTGTTTTTACACAAAAAAGCACTGTACTTGTATTTAATATGCTTTCTTTCAATTTTAAAACACTTCAGCTGATTTATTTTGCTGCTAACATTAATATTGTACATAAAGAAATAACGAGTGCAGTTTGTGTATGCATGATTAGCTTCATCATCATCATCCCCATCTTTCAGGTCAGATGTGCTGGAAACTGCATCATTCTTGCTAGAGAATCCAGCACAACGCTTCTGATTGGCTGAAAATGACATCATAGCAGGGTTACCAGTGATGATCAGGCTTTCCTTGAAGGCACATTGTTTGCATCACCACATCCCCCTTCCAACCTTTATCCCTCAACCTAGCTCTCAATATCGCAAAAAGACTAAACTACCACAATTTCCAATCATCGTCTTCTTTTTTTCTCTGTTGATCCCATGCAGGATGTTATTTGCTGCATTTCTTTTTTTTTTTTGCTCTGTTGCCATGTAAAAAATCCAGTATGCACACGACTCTCCAGCTCACAGACAGCTGGATGACATCATCTCTACCGTCTCTCTCCCCTCCCCCTGCGGCCCCTTCAGTCAACACATCCAGAATATACCAAACCCAGCACTTTACATTGGGGAAGAAGGGGGGTGATCATTTTTGCACAATTCGTTTACTTGCATATTAATTAATTGTATTATCACTTAAAAAGAGAAAACGCATCAAGTATTTTGTTTTGCATTATTTATAAATTCGTGGGGGGACATTTTTGCACAAATTGTTTACTTGCGTATTAATTAATCATATTATTACTTAAATAGATCAAATGCATCCAGTCTTTTGTTTGGCATTATAATTTAGTAATGATGGGGGTGAACATTTTTGCACAAATTGTTTACTTGCATAAAAGTCAACCGTATATATTTAAATATCGAAATGCATCTAGTGTTTTCTTTTGCATGACATGCAATTAAGTGAAGAGGAAGGGGGTGAAATTTTTTGCACAAATTGTTTGCTCGCATATAAATTAAACGTATTATTACCTACATAGAGAAAATGTATTCAGTACTTGTTTTGCATCACATATAATGTAGTGAAGATGAAGGTGGGCGTGAATTTTTTTGCACAAACTGTTTACTTGCATATAAATGAATTGTATTATTATTATTTAAATAGGGAAAATGCAAATAGTCTTTTGTTTTGCATTACATATAATTTAGTGAGGGGAGGGGGGTGAAAATATTTGCACAAATTGTTTACTTGCATATAAATTAATCGTATTATTACTTCGTCTTTTGTTTTGCATCACATATACTGTAATGTGGTGAAGATGGGGGTGAAATTTTTTGCACAAAGTGTTTACTTGCATAAAAACTAATCATATTATTATTTTAATAGACCAAAATGCATCCAGGGTTTTGTTTTGCATCACATATAATTTAGTGAAGGTGGGGGGTTGCACGAACTGTTTTTCAATTTATTGTATTATTACTTAAATAGACAAAATGCATCCAGTCTTCTGTTTTGCATTACATATAATTCAGTGAAGAGGAGGGTTGAAAATCTTTGCACTAATCAATTGTATTATTACTTGAATATAGAAAATGCATACAGTCTTTTTTTTTTTTGCATTATATATAATTTGGTGACAGTTTTTTCGAACATTTTTTTACTTGCATTTAAATATATTCATCATATATCATTGCGTGTAATTTAGTGAGGGGGTGAAAATTTTTGCACACATTTTGTACATGAGTTTATTACAACATGAGAGAACCTGTCTTTCAGTGATGCATGACGGGTCGTTTCATTTTGTAGGTTGAGTGCCTGACGTCACTGTGTTAGCGCTGCTCGGAAATAACGTAGGTACAGTGTGTTCTGTTCCGCCATATTCCACATCCATATCAGACCCCTGGGAGTTTTTCCACCTCACCTGAGAGACCAAACAGTGCAAACAGGTTCATGTGAGGCCCATCTAAGCATATGCTCTGAGAAATGCGAGTTAACAAACATAAATAATGTCAAATTAGTGAAGTGGCTTCCATATACTGAATATAATTTCAATTTGAAATCATATTTAGTCTACGAAACTAAACTGATTTAATCGCTAAAACTCTAGTAAACGGATTTGGCGTTGCACCAATGCAACAGACGGGCTATTGAGAGACTGTTCAAACAGGCCCGATCCAGACGAGTATGTTGGCAAGGTTATTATGTCACAGTCATCAGCAAGACTCCAGCCATGAGTGAGCGAGTGAGAAGATGACACACAAATCCCTGTCCTCCTCCGTTTTTAGACGTGACATTTCAAACAGCTCCAAAATCCAGACCGAGCTGGTTTAGCACACGACAGTGCACGTAATGAAATAAAATCCCAACCCAAATGAACTAACACAGAAAAAGATTCTAGGTTAAAAGCTCTGAAGTATCTAGATATTCCCATTAAATTATTCTCAATATTAATATCTATATTATTATTATTTTACATTCTGTTTCTTATCACAGACTGACTTACACGTTATAAATGAGCATTTCTGCTGCAGAGTGTTTCCTTCTCTGTATTCACAACCCGTTTTTTTCTTTCAACAAAGAGTTAACCACCTCCCCAGCCCATGAGGAGCCTGCATCCCTCTCGACCAATCAGAGCTCTGGAAGGTGATGTCATGCTTTATCTAGCAGAGGTGGTGCTGATGCTGCCAGGTTGAGCATCCAAACAGCAGCAGACTGTCAGGCTGAACGTGAGGGAAAGACTCGGGACTGAAGACTAGAGTGAACTGTTGGTGAGTAAAGGAGAATTTTTGTATTCGCTTTATTGTTTTAATGTTTTTGCAGGATAATGAGACATGCATGTGTTGGCGTAATGTGATTTGGAAGTTTGTACCGAAAGTTTAATTAGTTTTATTTTAAATAGTACTGAAATGTGAGATTTTTTGAGGGTGGATTGTGTTGCATTGCAGAATTTCTGCTTGCAAGATTTAGATTTGTGATACTGAGCATATATTTTAGCATTATATATGTAATGTTTATACTATATTTTTAAAGAGTGTATTTATATATATGTTGAATATAGTACAATTTTAAAAACAAAAAAGGAAAAGACTGTAGTTCATTTTAAGGTGATTTAAGGCAAAGTACATCTGAATGCATAATGAGCTTGGAGGTCCTGCAGATAGCATGCTGTAGTCTGCACTGTGGGCGGTACAGAGAGGTGAGATTACAGTATGTGCTGCTGTGCGAAAGGCCACAGCCTCTTCATAGAGCGCCACTTCCTTTGCTTTCATAACAACAAGCTTTTTTTGATCTGAAAGCAGTAGGAGGTTATGAATATGACTTGCATTTCCAGCTACAATCATATGCATTTTTGTTTGGTTGCATTTCAATGTCTATGTTATTATATTACTGAAGACGGAGCTGATTTTGACATTGAGTGCGTGCATTTTGTCCCTCATGACTTCGAATACTGTGCACATTTAATGCCATGCAGATTCACTGTTTTTACCTTTGGTGCTTTGATGCACATTTTTAAAGCGATAGTTCACCCCAATAGTAAAATGACATCATCATTTGCTCTCCCTCATGTGGTTTTAACCTTCATGATGAGTTTCACAAATATAAGATATTTTGAAGAATGCTGGTTGCTGGGACCCGTTGATTCCATAGTGGGATTAAATACTACTAAGTCAATGGGTTTCATCAACCAGCATTTTTCAAACTATCTTCTTTTGTGTGTGTTTAACAGAAGAGAGAAACTCAAATAGGTTTCGAACAAGTGAAGGGCAAATAAATTATTATTTTTGGGTGAACTACTCCGTAAAAGAAGAGATATTAACCTTTTAATTCTAAATTTAATTCTTATATTGCTGGCATTAATTAAACTGGAGCTGATTTTGACTTTAAGTGCATTCATTTTGTCCCTCATGACTTGAAAATGATGCTCATGATGCAGAGTTTCTAAGTTTAAATACATTTTAAATACATTTTTAACAACCAGAAGAATCATTATTTTGCTGGCATCAATACAACAGAAGCTGATTTTGTCCTTGTGTGCATGCAGTTTGTCACTGATTTCTAGAAAAGTGTGCAAAATGTTTTATAACCTGAGCCCATGCATGCATTGAGGGCGGCTTAAAGTTTAGAGATGGTGAGTGTGGGAAATGAGTGGGCACAGCAAGGGCAGAGGCAGGATGAACGAAAAACTGAGAGAGAGAGAGAGAGAGAGAAAAAAGAGCGTAGGCAGAGAGATGATCATAAACCCTGTACAAAACTCTTTCATTCAAGCTCTCGTTTGCGAAGGACTGGAATCAAGTATATTACCTTTTCTGACTATTTCAATTAATGCTTGATTAGTTTAGGGGATTATATGATGCATATACTGTGTTATTTTATGCTTGTGTTTAGTAATTTAACACTAAACCAAAAATTACTGTCGTTTTTTTATTAAAACATCTCAAACATTTTCATTATAGGTACAGTACATCTGAGGATATATCTTTATTAACATGTATTATTATTTTTTATTACAATATATATTATCTTTCTTTTTTATTATTGTTTTAGGTATAAATAGCATTCAGTTTAAGATAGTTATGTTTGAAACATTTGATGCAATCTGCATAATCTTGCTGTATTTTTGCATGTCAATAGTTTATTTTTCAATTCAGTGGCTATATTTGTTTGTAGTATTCATAATCTGCATTTGCTGTGGGATGTCTAACCTTTGTTGGACTTTAATGCGAAGACAAAGACAGAGAATCGATCGCCTCTGTTTCTGATTACATCATGGTTTCTCTCTGCAGAATCAGCTGAGTTTGAAACACCTCAGAGGACTTCGAAGGAAAGATGACTCTCGCCGGTACGTGAAAGTCCACTTGTTCGTTTATATACGCGTGTGTGAGCTGAAGGAATGATGTGAGCACATGGCATTTCATCGGTAGCGATGTTAGCTCAAAATAACTCTTTTCTATCTTCTATGCAGCGTACAGAGAAAAGATGAAGGAGCTCCCTCTAGTGTCTCTCTTCTGCTCCTGCATCCTCCCAGAGCCCAGAGAAAAGCCCACCAAGAAAACACAAGGTAGGTTTTATGTCTGCAGTCTATGAAGTCATACAAACAAATTAAAGTTTAAAAATACGTCTATAATCAGACTTTAAAAATTCAGTTGTCTTTAATTTCAGATGTTCAATATTCAAGCTACGAAATTGAAATTCAAATGAATTAATTCAAATTCAAAACAAATTTTAATGCCATATTATATTCAGTTTTATTACATTACAATTGCTAATATATCCAATTAACATAATTTAGATTCAGATTGTTTAGCCATATTTTAAGCTCCATCTGTTTTTTTTTTTTATCAACAACATATTTTCACAGCTGGTTGATGACTATCAGAATTGTAAACATTGCAAGTCATGTGCACTTATCCTCTGTGAAGTTTGGTGTATGTAATGTAAGTGCTTCTGAAGTGGAGATTTATGGCTCATTGCATTTATATTTACATTTATTCATTTAGCGGATGCTTTTATTCAAAGGGACTTACAAGTGAGGATAAAAGAAGCATTTTAAATCATCAGAGAATTGTAGTATATAAATACGATGACAAGTCTACTTTTAAAAAATACTTTTTTTGTTGTAAAAAATAAATTTCATTTGGAGAATTGACGTCCTAAATGTGTACTTGTAAAATTCATGCAAAAGTTATCCTTTCCACCTAAAATGTTCTTTCTGTTAAACTGAAAAGAAAGACACTTAATGATAAGGCAAAATCTCAAAATTTACATGATGCATTGAAACTGTATTTTAACTGCAGTGTATTAAAGGAAAAGTTCACCAAAAACTAAAAAATCTGTCATAGTTTTCTCATCCTTTACTTGTAAAATACTGTTTAATAACCGTGGTAAATATTGACTTCAATTGTATTTTTTCCCACTATGGGGGTCAGTGGTTACCTGTTTCCAACATTCTTCAAAATATCTTCTTTGGTGTGTATTACAAAAAAAGAAACTCATAAAGGTTTAAAAACCACTTAAGTGTGAGGAAATGTGAAAATAATCTCTTAAATTCTACAATTACCTATAATGTGGTGCTTAAAGAAATTCTTGAAAAAAAAACACTGCCAAAAATGCTGGGTTCCACACAATTTGTTCATGTTGTCTTAACACAAATGGATGAAGTTAACTTAATAAATTTAAGTTAAAAAATCCCAATACATCTCAAGAATTGTGTTGTTTTGACCCATTTAAAATACAAGTTGTTTGAACAAGCAACAAAATAATATTTTTGAGTGCATTTTCAGACCAGAGCTAATGCTGAGTTGTATGATGAAATGAGTGTTTTTGACCTTGGATGGATGTAAATTGATTGTAAATTGACTGGTATTATATTATGAATATTTATTGTTTTTATTATTATTAATAAAATGTGGATTATTATTTTTGAATTATATTATTATTTGGTTATTATTATTATTATTATTTGGAAATTCTGAACAGCTTGCAGAAGCAAACATCTGCAATCTGTCATACTGCAATGTTACTGGGATTATTTTAGGAATATTTATTGTTTTTGCTAATTAAAATAAATTAGATATCAAATTTTTAAATGTAATGATATATATATATATATATATATATATATATATATATATTAGGTGTGTGTGTGTGTGTGTGTGTGTATATATATATATATATATATATATATATATATATATATATATATATATATATATATATATATATATATATATATATCAGGAACTTTATTTATGTTCAAGTAGCCTATAATTAGTTGAATGAATATTTTTAACCATTACTGCTCTTCTGTTAGATGTTGTAGACCTCAACCTGGGAATTATCAAAGACATGGAGGTGATTGAGCTAAACAAGCGCTCATCAGGCCAGGCCTTTGAGGTCATTCTCAGACCTCCATCTTTTGACGGTCAGAGGGAGTTTCACCCCACATTCCCACCTCGCCGGGACCCTTCACTGGAGGAGATTCAGAAGAAGCTGGACGCCGCTGAGGAGAGAAGAAAGGTGAGGACTTTTATAATGGTTTCTGAGTCAATACTCAATATAGAAATACATCAGATTTTTAATTGAAAACATAACTTTATATGCTATTTTTAAAGTTTTGACTTTCATGTAGAAATAATCTGAGTAATTTTTTTTAATTATGTTTTAATTAGCAATAATATTCATAGTGATATTATTATGGATCATTTATTATCAATAATGAGAAAACAAAACAGTTAGAATTTTGCTTTTTCTTAATAATAATAATGATATTAATATATTTTATTTATGATGCGCTACAAAGGCTACAACAGTGGTCTCAAACCCAATTCCTAGAGAGCTGCAGCTCTGCATAGTTTATCTCCAACCACCTCCAACTTACACCTGCCTAACTAATGGTCTATAGTAGTCTTGAACACCTTGATTATTTGGATCAGCTGTGCTTGACTAGGGTTGAAGCAAAACTGTGCAGAGCTGCGGCCCTCCAGGAATTGAGTTTGAGACCTATGCGCTACAAAATTTACAACAACAAATAAAAAATCCAGAGAATTACACCCTTGCATAAAATCAGTAACAAGCCAAAAGTCAAGTCGCGTTAACTAATTAAACAATAAATTACAAAACAATAACTATATAACAAAAAATAGTTTAGTACAGTGTAGTACAGTTTCACATTTGGATGTGCTCACTGGTATTATTTTAGAAATATTTATTGTTTGTGTTATTATTAATAAAGTTTGTATTATTATTATTATTTGATTATTATTATTATTGTTAATTTGAAGTTCAAAACAGCTTGCAGAAGCAAAACAAACTCTCTTACTGCAATATCACTGGTATTATTTGAGGAATATTTCATGTTTTTATTAGTTAAAATAAATAATTTAAAAAAATGTATTATTATTTTTATATTTTCGGTTTAATTCAGTTTTTTTCTTTTCAAATATTTCTATAGCTTTTTATATGCAAGATATCTTTATTAAGCTTTATTCTCATTCGTTAATCAACACACTGTACAACTGTTCATTGATAGTTGATGTTAGCTCATTTACATTAAATACCATTTACTAATAACAAAAGTCCAAGGCACTCGAGTACGTGAAAAAATTAAAAAGCCTTTATTAACATGACTATTATTTAAATAATAGTGGTAATTAATACATTTTTTTTTAAATAATAGTCATGTTAATAAAGGCTTTTTCATTGTCTTCTTGAGTTCCTTGAACTTATGATTTTGTTATTTGTAAATATGATTTAATGTAAATGAGCTGACACAAACTATATTTGTAATGTGAAGTGGATGCAGACAAGGGAGTGCAGATCCAAACACAGGTTCATTGAGAATAGACAGGCAAACAACGGTCACAATTAGGAGCAAACAAAAGTATGCAGGCAAATCCAGAGTCGTAGTCAAAAACACAGGCGATAGGTCAGCACAGGCGGGCAGCAGACAACATAAACAAACAAACAAGGTGAGGGTCAAAAACACGGCAAGACAAGAAAACTGCGTCGAAATGTTCACTAACAATATAACAAGACTCAGGCGTGTCAATGTAAGCCATATATAAGTGTGTTTAATCAGTCCATGAGCAGCATCAGCTGTGGGAATGTAATCAATGGAGACTTGGAGCAGATGTGTGTGTGTGTGTTGCATGACTGGAACTTGTAGTCCATATACCAGCAGATTTGTAGTCCGTTAGTGATCTGCACATGCTGGATCGCTGATGACTGTGACACTATTAATGAACAAATGTATGTTGATTAACTAATATTGATAAAGCTTAATAAAGACTGTCTTTAATTTTTTTTCACTTACTTGTCGAGTGTCTTGGACTTATGATTTTGTTATTTATCTTTGTAAATCCCTCATCCAATAAGCACAGACATATTAATTACCCCTGAAGCCCTTTTTGTTTGATTTTGGATTTAAACATTTACTAAAATGTGTTAATAATGAAAATAACATTAACAAAAACTAATAAATACTTTAGAAGTGTTCTCATGGTTTTTTAAATCTAACTATCAGTAACAAATGTAATCCTCTGTAAAGTGGTACTGTTTTAAGTACCTGAAAATGTTGAATATGTTTTAGTTAGCATGAACATTACTGCATATACATGTACTTATAGCTGAGTCTCATATTTCTGCTTGGGTTTTTCTCCCCAGTGTCAGGAAGCTGAACTTCTAAAGCACTTGGCTGAAAAGAGAGAGCATGAGCGAGAGGTGGCCCAGAAAGCCTTGGAGGAACACAACAACTTCATGAAGATGGCCAAAGAAAAGCTGGAGCACAGAATGGAGATCAACAAGGAGAACAGGGAGGCTCACATCGCCGCCATGCTGGAGCGTCTTCAGGAGAAGGTACGGCCAATCATGACTATCTGAAAACCACTTACATTTTTTAAAGGTGCAGCAGCACCCCTAGTAACACAAAAGGGAATTGCAGTGGGTTTTGAACAGTCTAATCAAAGAAATAAATAAGCTGAGGCCTGTTATGTAACAGTTTGGGCTTTTATACAGGTAAGTTTGCATTTAGTTTGAGCAAACTCTGAGTTTCGGGGCTTAAGATCACTGTAAAAAAGGGTTCCACACAATTCTTTCATGTTGTCCCAACACTAATTGATTATGTTACCTTAATTGTTTTTACAAATTTGATTAAATTTAATTAATCTTTATTTCTATAGCGCTTTTACAATGTAGATTGTGTAAAAGCAGCTTAACATAGAAGTTCTAGTAAATACATAGAATTTCTAGTAAATTTAACATAAAAGAATTAAGTTGTCCCCCCAAAAAATCTTCAAGAATTATGTTGTTTCAACTCATTTAAAATAAGTAGTTCAAACAAGCACCATTAGATATTTTTGAGTGGAGGTGAGTTTGGTTTTGTCGCCAAAACAACTTAATCTACATAGCTGAACTGCTTCGAAATCTAAAGCAGGTTTTATTTCGAGTTTGAGATCGCAACTCTGAAGTGGACCAATCAGCTGTGAGCAAAGTGACATATATGTCTGTTGCATAAAAAAACATTACCAGTTGACCAAGATTGTTTATATCATAAGCGTTTTAAAACCCCTTGATCTTAATCAGGTTGGATTTGATTGGCTTGTTCAACTCATTTTGTGCAACACACCTCAGTTGTGAAACAAAATTAGGCCAAAATTAGGTTCATTTTGGAAGTTCAAAACAGCTTGCAGAAGCAAACAACTTTAAACTGCCATTCACTGTGGAAAATACTGGGTTCCACACAATCGATTTGTGTTGAGATGACATGAAGAAATTAAGTGAACTTATAAGTTTTTATAAATTTAAGATGATTGAACAAAATAATTAAGCTGTCCCTCCAAAAAAATAAACTCAATAAGAGTGTTGTTTCAGCTCGTTTTAAATAAGTAGTTTGAACAAACAGCAAGCATCATTTTTAGAGTATGGATGTAATAAGTGGGTGTGGCTTTGAAGCTCCACCTTCTATCATGTGGTAATCTGTTCTGTCAAAGTCAGACATCCACCAGATCAAGGTTTATTGTCAGGATATTTTTAAACATGTTTTAGCATTCACACCCAAGCAATTTTCACTGGTGGTGAGCAGATTAAAAATCCTGACGTTAGATGCTGCTTTATGAAAAACAAAAATAGCCTTGTGCACAAGATGGCAGTTTTCAACAGTTTTCAAAGCACCTGACACTGACGTTTCTTCATTGTCGTTAGCAATGTGTGCTCGCATAGACGGTTTATGCTTAATCACCACCAAGTTGTGTTTGCTGTAAGTTCAGCAGTCAACATGTCAAAACAAACAAGCAAATAAAAGAGGCCAAGGTGTGTTGTTGTGACCACTCACATTGGCGCCCATGGTTTAGTCATGAGTAGGGCTAGACGGAATCTGCGGACATTTTTAGCCATTTCTGCTGAGAATTTTAGTAAAAATCTGCGGATTTATGCTGAATGATTTTGGGAGTATCATAACTAAAAACAAAATATATGAAACAAAAAGTAATACCTTTTTAACTTGTATTTAATGTTTACACTGCAAATCCAATTAGATCCACTTGGTAAACAAAGCAAGTGTCCCATATAATATCTCTACTGTAAGACAGAACACATTACTTTAAAAACTACATCGTAAATAAATCATATAAATATTTTCAAAGAAATTAATTTAAAAACTGAATAAATATGAATGTACACACATTTACTACACACATTAAATCTGCAGAATTCTGCATGTGCAGATTTCGTGTGGGCCTGGTAATGAGATATTAAACATTGGCAATAAGAGTGAGTGATAATCGTCCTGGTGTGTGTAACCCTGCCAGTCCTACGCCACTCAACCCACTCCAAACTGGTATCAAACTGGTGACCTTCCACATGGGAGTCAGTTGCTCTACCAAAAAGGCTAAAGACCATGGCCTCTAGTGTCAGTCGCTAGAGAAGCTTTAGAGGTTAGAGGAGTGAGGTTTACCTGCACAGCACCTACTAGCTGGCCTCCATTACATGTGCACAGGCCATTAGAAGTATAATTCTAATCCTGTGTCAAATCTAATTGAAAGCGACACTAACACTATTATTTTGTGTGTGTTTAATGCTGCAAAAGCTGCTTTCTTCAGATCAGTCAACAGTATTAAGTCTAATGTAAATGAAAATATTGTGACTTCAATGGAGTGCCAAATTATCAGATGTTTCGTTAAGTGCTGTTTTTTCATCACTCTGGTTTTAGATGTTTGACTAGTTTGCTGCTTAGAGACAGGGGCGGACTGGCCATCTGGCAATTCTGGCAAATGCCAGAAGGGCCGGACCAATTTTTAAATGTGGGCCGGTCTTTTTTTTTTTTTTTTTTTTTTTAATATGTATTGTTCTTACGTGCAGGCAGCTTTTATGTCTTGCTAGATGTGATATTATGATGATGATAAAAAAATCAAATAAATAATAATAATAATAATAAATGTTAAGCATTTGGCCCAATTGGTGACGGCCGCCTGATTTCAAGATGGGCCGACCCAATCTGAGGTTACTCGGACGTAATCAAATTCCGGCAAGAATGTCATATTTTTTCACCATCTGTACACCAAAATAAATAGTAAATGTCCGTGTCCGTGGGTGGGCTGTGTCGGTGTGGTAATGTGGGCTGATGTGGCTACAGTGCCAGGGCTGAATTTTTGTCCCAGTCCGCCCCTGCTTAGAGAAACAAAAAGCACAAATTTACATATTGGTCTAAACACCCTTCTCTGCAATTCCGTTTTGTGTCACTAGTAGATATTTTCAATGCTTAAGACACTCCATACTTGAGATTGAACAATTATTTAATCTTTTTCTTTCTTTTTCTCTTGTATTTTTCCAGGACAAGCATGCTGAGGAGGTGAGGAAACACAAGGAACTAATGGATCTGGACTGGCAATAGAATAACTCAAATCAAGAGCGTTTCTAGCGGAGATTTTTACACCAAAATAAGGCCAAACAGCTCATAGCCAGGCTGCGTTTTGAAACTGAAGGCCTATTTTGCGATATTTAAAGCAAAAGATGCCGTTTTCTTAAATTTGCTGCTGCACAAAATGTGTTTTATGAATGTGAATTTGACATCAGTCAACAGAAAAGTTGACAGATTGTTACAATTGTTAAAATGCATGAGTCCTTTTCGACAAATCAGGAGTTTGCATGTAATTAGTAAAAGAAAATGGACAGTGATGAATATAGTGTGTATAAATGTTGTACTGCTGTTTGTGTAACATTGTGTATTCAAAAAAGTCATCTGTACTTATAGTATTGTAGTATTTATGTGTCTAAACGTTCATTTCGTGACGTAAACTCGAAAGCAAGATTTTTGTTAGTAACCTTACAGCATTAAATGTGGCCACAGTTGACTTGCATCTCATAAAGCTCGTGAAAGCAATTTGGTGTGTGACTGTGTGGTTTTTGTCCTGATATTAATCGGCATATCTCTGAACTTTATGTTCCAGGTGCCTTGAGATCTTCTCAGAACGCACGCTGATCATACTGAAGACCATTCACCAAAGGACTGACTATCACATGCTGAGCTTTTTAGCTTGGATCATAAGAGATCATGACTCTGAAAGCAGATTATGATATGGTTATATCATTGTACGGTACGATGGCCATGTTGTCGGATGAGCAGAACTGGCCGGCCAGCAAAGATTGTGAAATCTTTTCTACCTTAATCTGAGAAATGCAGAGATGTGTTTGGCTCTGCGTTGAGCTTGTATGCCAATAGTGCCAAAAAAAAAAAAAGAGTGTGTGAGATGATTTCGTGTGTTTGGACGGTTTCATGTACTTTGCCCATGTGGATGCAGTCGGTTTGTCTTCTGTCCTGTCTTTAAGGCTCTATTTTTGGTAAAAATGCTCAAGCTTTTGCCGCTGTACATACATTCACTTGCCTCATGATCAGCTGGTGTCTGATTTGGCTCTATAATTCTGTACAGAAATTGTAATATATATATATATCTATATATATATTTTAGAGGCAGAGGGAATTAAAGCACTGCTGGTATTTGGTTTTTGTCCTTGTGACTTTCTCATTATGCATAAAAAAAAATAAGGTTTACAAAAAGAAAATACATGAGAACAATCTTTGTATAATTTTTTTCATTTATTGCATCAGTCATTACATGCACATGTGGATAGATAAATAAATAAATAATTCATATAAAATATGTTAACATGTACATAAAATGTAAACAACACATACTTTTAAAGGAAATCCAGTAAAAATAAATAATTAGAAAACACAATGTATTAAGACATTAATAAATTAGATGGATGATGAATAGAAATCCTTATTCATAACTAATGTAATATTATGCAAATTTAAATGATCAAAAACAAAATACAATTAAAAATAAATATTATATACTTCCAAAAACACACAAAAACAATATTAATAAATTAGATTATGATGTTTTTAATACATTACTGTATAGAGTACATTACACAATAATAATAATCATCTGAAATCATAAATTAAATACAGTGAAAATAAATAAATATCCTATATTTTCAAACCCTTACTTAATGGCATTATTAAAGGGATTTATAGTTCACCTACTTTCTTTGTTCTGGAAACCTGTAATCATTGACTTCCATTGTCAGCGGTTACAGTTTTCAACATTTATCAAACTATCTTCTTTGGTGTTTAACAAAGAAAGAAACTCATTAAGGTTTGAAACAAGTGAGTAAATAATGACTTTTCGTTTTTGGGTGAACTATCTTTTTAAATTGAACGAGGGTTTAATTCATTGTCAGTAATTACTTTTAATCTAAAATTACTTTAATTAAAACAATCCTGATCTGAAAATACTGTGTACTGGCAACACATGTAATAAATTACATTTTTAATGGATAAAGATATAAAAAGATGAAAAAAAAACTAACCTCGTCATGGTTGAAATAAAAAATATCTTATATTTTCAAACACTTTTGTAATGACATTTTTAAAGGGATATATATTTTACCTAGTCTCTTTATTCTGTTAAACACAAAAGAAGATATTCTAAAGGATGTTGGAAACCTGTAACCATTTACATTCATAGTCAATGGTTACAGGTTTCTAACATTTATCAAACTATCTTCTTTGGTGTTCAACAGAAGAAAGAGACTCCAAGGTTTGAAATTTGTGAGTAAATAATGACTTTTATTTTTTGGGTGAACTATCCCTTTAAATTGAATGAGAGTTTAATTCATTACCAGAATTATTTTTAATCTAGAATTACTTTAATTTTAGAAAATACTGATCTGAAAATACTGTGTGGATTGGCACTTATGTAATAGGCTAAATAACATTTTTAGATGCATAGACATATAAAAGATAAACCCTTACATCGTCATAAAAATACGGTTGAAATAAATAAATATCCACATTTGTAAACACATAAATTAATTATAAAGTCTTAAATCTTACGCCTTAAGTTTTGGAATGGCAACACTGCCTGTAAAACCGAGTCGATCCCACATTTTAAAGCTGTTCCACATAAGGACGAACGCAGGTGCATCCCACAGCAATTGTTTTATACTCAAGTTTAAATGAATAGTTGGGCTTTTCTCCTCGAATTCTCCTCAGGACCATGATCTGCGTGTAAATGGGTTTGGACTCGTAATCCTGGACCTCAACGCCGTCTATCAGACATCCTGTCAGCGAACACTTCGCCTCCGCAATGCTGGTAGGATACAGGCTCTCGTTATGTGTAAACCTAAATGAAACCAAGTTAATACTAGTTAGCGGTTTTTCAGCAGCAGTCACATTTATTTCAGACAAACAACAAACAAAGATATTGAAATGACAGCTCGTTCAAATCATACAAGTCATAAACAATCCAAAATGGCCATTATAACAGCACGAAAAATACGATTTGCTATACTAGGCTATGGTATTTTTTCATGTAGGTAACGTTATAATCGTAATTTTTGGAAAGTTTATGATATTATAGTGTTACTATAGTCAAATATTTAAATGAATTTGTTTTGGTAATTCTACAAGCGTTGTAGCCTATATAAATGACTCACTAGTTATCCACAACTGTAGGGTGTACAATACCCTACAGTTTACAGTAGTAGCCAATAAACCAAAGTGTAGGCTAGTATGTATTAGCTTATCAGTTTGCAATAGTTAATACTACAGTAGCCTATGCTGTAGCATCCATTTACAAATAATTGCACATTTTATGTTATATGAAGTATAATATTCTACTATAGCGGATAAAAAATACTAAAGATTTTCTCAGGGTGTGAATTACAGGAGAGTTTGATGCTTGACCCTCCTGAAGAACAACAAAGCAGAATGTATGAAGGACACAACCCTTTAATACTGAGAAATAGTTCACTGCATTTAAAATAATAATGTTAATAATTGATATAATTATATAAATATACAATTGACAGCCTCTATAACAGTTTGTTATATACCATTGTGAATGCATAACCTTGCCAATTGCAAAAAAAAAAAAAAAAAAAAAGATTTAGAGCACCAGACATACTGTTCACAAGACGGTTTTCTCATAAAATAGGTGTACAAATAGGCTGAAAGTAAAGTCAAATTAGATTGTTTGACCTCTGAAATACCTCATCAGAGGATGATGTTTGCCAGAATACACTGAATATCTATCAAAACATTGAAAACTTAAATATGTTTTATTAATAAGTAAGATGTAATTTAAATCAAAACATAATTGACTGAAGCATGTGTTACACAAACTATCATTACTGAAAAAGTTGACCCGTCAATGTATATTTCGTGCACTGGATTTACTGTAAATTACTATGGTATTTTTTAATTTGGGTAGTGATGACATTTCCTCAAAGGACCTTTAGGTGAACAGTTATGTTTTTTAGTACATTAATACATAATTGTTTTTCGTTTTTCTAACTTTAAAGAACACTCAAAAAAGCCAAAAACTTTTTGTGTGTGTATATAAAGAATCTTTTGTGCAATAGAAAGGTTATTTGGATGCTGAAGGTTAATGTAAAGGTGTAAAGAAGTGTAAATATCCATCTTTGCAAAATAAGCAAAATTTCTGAAATCTAAGATTCTTTATGGAACCACTGAATGCCAATATAGCAGTATTTACTAAGATGAGGTCTTACATGTAAGTCCATGGAGAGATGGAGTCATTGTTGATTGGATGGATGGGATTGGTTGAGGCTTTAAACTCAGCGTCCAAGACCAGCCGGTATGAATGATCTGCTTCTGGGTGGCTGTTTTTATTCTTCTGATCAGATCTTACAGAAGCCCCCTCAGCACCGAATGATATTAAAACAAGCCCCATCATGCAAGCCACCTGTGAAGAAAAAAATTACATTTTAGACTCGTTCAATCGTGCAATGAACTTTCTCAGTAACGTTCACTTCAGCTATACTCACCATAAGAAAGCGGAGGTTTAACGCTGATGACATGGTTGCATTCATTTGACCTGTGCTTGTCAGATGTCTTCTGTCTGTCCCAGATATTGCTCTTCATTTGCAGTGGTAAGCGCAGTTTATATAGCGAGGCCTGTTCATGTATTCGCAAGAAGTGTAGGTGCGTTTCCTGTCATAATTTTTTTTTACCCTTTGATGGTGTGTCATGTTGTCATTCAGTATGTCAGCATAATTCACTTACACTGTGTCACTACAATCCAATATCACAATGCTAGAAAGCAAAAACTGAAAGTTTTGGGAGGAACTGTCTCTAATCTTGAAGTAATTCTTCACTTGAAATCACCTTCTCAATGTGAAATAAAATAAGCTGAATAAAAAGATATGAAAACAAAGCTGCTGAAACACCACAATGAATGCAGCCCCTAATAAGATGCTTCACCATTTACACACTTAATGGCATGCATATTTATACACATAATTACATAGTACATTTAAATTTACATGATTTATGAACACAAGCAACTTAACTATGGGTTTTAACAGTCATTGAGTTGGCTAAACTACGCATTAACCATGATTTTGCCAGACTAAAACCAATTAGTTAGTTAAAAAAGATAGTAAACCCATTTCCATAAGCTGACTTTACTTTAAATGGATTAAACCCGCTGCTTTAAAAGTGACAAGTTGACTTTAATAAAACCCATTGCCTTAAAAGCAACAAATTTATTTTTAGGAAAAAAAAAAGAAAAAAGTGAGTAATTTCACTGCCTTAAAAACAACAATTTGTTTTTAGTTTAAAAAAAAGGCAAGTAAAGCCATTGCCTTAAAAGCAACTAGTAAAATTTACATTAATAAAACATATTACCTTTAAAGCAACTAGTTGAGTTTACTTAAAAGTAAAACCCACTAACGCAAAAGTCACAAGTTGTTTTTAGTTTAAAAAAGCAAGTAAACTCATTACCGTAAAAAGCGACAAGTTGTCTTTGCTTTTTAAAAAAGCAAATAAACCCATTACCTAAAAAAAGAAACAAGTTGTATACAAGAGTCTGGTTCAAAAACAGCTTTTAATGGAGAATGTTCAGACTTATACAGACAAGATTCAAAATAGGAACAGCACGCATGCAGATAAACCAAAAGGTTATAGGTAAACAGGTGAAAGGCTGTAGCAAACGGCAAAACAACTATGAAAAACAAAAAAGGGTTCAAACACGACTAGATGATCCAGGAAACTCTTTGAAATGCTCACTACAGGTAAACAAGACTCAGCCCTAGATGAATGTGTGTGTGATGTATATATGTATACAGTCCTAGTGATAAGTAATGACGAGCTACGTCTGTGTGTGTGTAATTAGAAGGTGAGCTGAAACTGGTGTGTAAGTGCAGTGCACAATGGGACATGTAATTTGGTTGAATGACAGTGAGTGTTCTCCAGCGATCCGCAAGGGCTACATCATAAATGTCTTTGTCTTAAAAGCAACTTTATATAAAAAGTAAACTTACTGCTTTAAAAACGACTAGTTGAATTTACTTTTAAAAAAGCAAGTAAACTAATTGTCTTAAAAGCAACAACTTGGCTTTACTTATAAAAATCGAGTAAACCCAATGATCCAATAGCAAAAAATGTAATTCACTTTTTAGAAATTGAGTAAACCCATTCATTCATTGGTGAACCGCGCTTTTATTTCTAAAGCCAATCGCAGGCGTTTCTGTTGACCAGGTGAAGACAATAACCAATCATAGGGGTGTAAGACCTCGTTTGACAGCGCTCAAAAAGCGTGATAATATTTACTTTAGTTTATTTGCTATAAATGCTAATGTTGTCTTCTGTGCATGTATTGTAGTTTTGTTTGATACATACAAAAAGAGTGTTTTCTTTGAGCAGGTCAAATTAAAGGTACAGTTCATATATCTTAATGCCTTTATTAAAGGACAAAATTGTAATACAAATAGTATATAAATATTAATATAGTTATAGATTTTAATAAAAAAATTCTTGTGTTGTGAAGAAAAAATCAAATAATGTCTGAAAAGCTTCGTCAATGCACCATGATGCTCCGAGATATCGAATTGAACCCAATCGATGGCATGATAATTGTAACCGAACTGAACCGTGAGACCAGTGTAGGTTCACACCCCTAGACAGCAGTAATACTCACTTTTAAAAGTGTTAACAAGAGTCATTGCTTTTTTACTGTGTACCCTAACTTTTTACTATTACCAGAAATATACTATTACCACAAATTAAAATAGATTTTTTCAGTGGTTCTTTGGGTTTGTAGAGGTGCTACGTAACCACTACAAAATAAAGAAATAAAAAAAAAACTTTTTGCAACAAGTTGACTTCAATTAAAAAAAAAACTGACTAAACCAATGCTTTAAAAATGACAAGTTGAATTTACTTTAATGCGAGTAAACCTATTAACTCAAAACCCACGAGTTGTTTTTAGTTTAAAAAAAGTGAGTTAACCCTTTACTTAAAAAGTGACAAGTTGTAACTTTCCTGATGAAAAGTGAAGTTAAACTTGATGTTGTTTAATAGAAGCTCAAATGTGCCTGAAGGGATGTCTGTTGTTGAATCTGCACATCAAGGTTTCAAGTGCAATGAAAAAATGTGACTAATAAATTGAATTGAAATGTTAGGAGTAAGAATACTCTTGTTTTTGTCAGAAATGCAAAATTAAATTACATATAATCAGTTTAAACTGCTCCAAAATACTTATATAATAATACCTAAACCGAATTCTAAACCTAACTTTGATTTTCAAACCTAACCAGAACCATATAGACTCATAAAATACCTTTTTAATGGCGTTCATTTAATTAAAACAAATCAATCTAAATAAAATACTACTGAATCAAGTTTTTTATTTACAAATGAAAACATAAATCATAAAATACAAATTGTGTTTACATTTAAGAATTAAGCCACAAACTGAACTAGACGTTCAATGATGGAGTTGGGGGAAAAAACTATATTTTGCTGTAAAATGCACCCCAATAGTTAAAAGAAATAATAATAATAAATAAAACTCATACAGTGCACTAAAAACATACAGTGCATGTTTCACAATCAAAATTAGTACAATTCTCTTTTTTATATAAAATATTAAGTAAAATATCCTAATATATTTCAAAACATTTTCATTTGTTTTGGTATTTTGTTGGCCAACATCAATTTATTTGTGCTTGAGACGTCTAAAAGCATTTTGTGGTCGCATATTATTGTTTAGTGCAACTTAGCAACCATAATAGACTGACATAACCTACTTTCTGACAGACATAGCACATTCACTCAAATCAGAAGGTATATATTAGTATGAGTCTGATTCTGTCCACTATACTTCAGCTCCCACGCTGCTTTACTAATGCCGGTGACCTCGATTGGCAGCGTTTGCAAAACGTCACATCTACACAAAGATTTCCGGACAAGTCTCATGCATATTGTATTGCATCTCTCCGATGCACAGTTTTCCACCTTTGCTGGTTTACAAATACGTCATCTGTGGTTCACTTGTGGTCTCACCATCTGAAATTTCTAAGGATTGGTGCATGGGGGAAAGACAGGACCGCATATCATGTGACTCAAATCTGGGGGATTCAAATGCAGTTGACAGTAACACACACATTGTAATCCCCCGAAATCACAAAATTATGACAACCGGCATTGTTTGTAATTTTTAAACCAGTCAATTTTGTGTTTAAACGATGTTCAAGAGACATCCAAACATAGGCACCTGGGCTAAAACAAAGCTAAATTTGGTCTAATGGATTAGACAGACTTGTGTAGTCAGATTCAGTCCTATGAATATAGTCTACACTGTTAATGATTTTTGTAAATGATAAAGCATTTAACTGTAATATGAAGTGTATTTTACTGTAGGGCAGTTTGGCAGCATGTTACTGAACTTTAAAGTTGTATTGTGAAAATTACTGTATTTTTAACAGTAAAGATATACAATACTTCAAATATTTATACAAGGTAAATACTGCTGTAAATGTAAATACAGTATTTTTGCTGTAACTGATTTACAGTAAATTAATGGTGAACTTAACTGTAATATGAACTGTATTTTACTGTAGAACAATGTTACTGTATTTTAAAATTGAAATGTGAAAATTACTGTATTTTTACAGTAAAGATTTACAGTACTTTAAATACGTTTACAAGGTAAATGCAGCTATAAATGTAAATACAGTAATTTTACTGTAACTGATTTACAGTAAGTTACTGGTTTACTGTAGGATGGTTATGCAGTATGTTACTGTATTTTAAAGTTGCATTGTGAAAATTACTGCATTTTTACAGAAAAGATTTACAATACTTTAAATATTTTTGCAAGGTAAATGCTGCTGTAAATTATTTATGTTAAGTTACCAATGAACGGAACTGTAATATGAAGTGTATTTTACTGTAAGACAGTTATACAGCATGTTATTGTATTTTAAAGTTTTATTGTGAAAATACTGTATTTTTACAGTAAATATATACAATACTTATGCAAGATAAATGCTGCTGTAAATGTAAATACAGTATTTTTGATTTACAGTAAGTTACTGGTTTACTGAACTGTAATATGAGCTGTATTTTACTGTTGGACATTTATGCATTATGTTACTGTATTTTAAAGTTGCATTGTGAAAATAACTGTATTTTTACAGGAAAGATTTACAATACTTTAAATATGTTCACAAAGTAAAAGCTGCTGTAAATTATTTACGTTAGGTTACCAGTGAACGGAACTGTAATATGAAGTGTATTTTATTGTAAGACAGTTATGCAGTATGTTATTGTATTTTAAAGTTTTATTGTAAAAATACTGTATTTTTTACAGTAAATATATACAAAACTTTTACAAGGTAAATGCTGCTGTAAATGTAAATAGTGTTTTTTGCTATAAATGATTTACAGTAAGTTACTGGCGAACTGAACTGTAATATAAACTGTATTTTACTGTAGGACAGTTATGCAGTATGTTACTGTATTTTAAAGTTGCAATGTGAAAATTACTGTATTTTTACATTAAAGATATACAATA